CGACCTATCTATCTGCTTTTCTCTCTATCTATTTCCGTATCTCTATATTTTTCTACGCATTTATGTTTTCCTATTTGTCTTATCAGTTTATCTATGTAGCACTCACTCTCTCTCTCCCTATCTCTGTTTTCCTTTCGTTTTTTTCTCTCTCCTGATCACACTCGTGCCCGTATGTTAACGTAATGGCTTCATATCAGCCTCATTTGGCTCGGTCGACTCTGAAATTGCCTCGATGTCACTAGGAGTGATTACATACTTAAGAGGCACACTGGCAACCTGTCAGCGAAGGCCAGATGTAGTATCACGTCAAGTGGTAAGTCGAAATACGTTTTTCATAACCGACAATTATGTAAATTATGTGCCGTTGCACCTGTAATCTTTATTAGGATTTGGCTTAAACATTTGTATATGTAATTTACTTGTGTACTTGTACTTGTGTGTATGATGGACACCAGCGTGTATTAGATAGAATAAATGTATAACATTCCAAGCCGGTACTGCCCCTTTGCCTTGGTACAACGGAATAGTTCACTTAAATCGCAACAGGAAATTCACGTGTTGTCTTTGCCAACGCTGATCGTCATTAAGTGCTTACGACATAGACCGATGAGTTATTTCACCAGGTGCCCGCAGACTGATCATCAGGCCTCTTATGAAGCCTATGCCATCAGAAATCATTTATATCTAGTTGTGAAAACTAAGCATATATTTTATTATGCATTACTTTCTTAAAGCAATGATTCACCTCGCAAGAAAACCACCATTTGCATGACGCATATGTACGACATGACTGCGAGGTGCCAAATCAGCACAGTATCTGCGCACTTTCTTCTCAGGCAGCGAGGTCGCCTTTCAAAAAGGATAATTCCTCCCCTTTGCAATTCCTGTTGCAGAACCCTTACGATTGCTCTCTGCGAAACACTCACGCACTGTAACATTCGTGAAAGTAACATTTAAGCTTCGAATCTTCACCAGGGAGTCCAGATAAAATAAATCTCTTGTACTGGCAAAATTCTGTGTATTATTTCACACTCCTTTATTCAGTTAGGCTTCATTGTTTTACTATGGGCCTGGACAGTATTGATTGGGTGAAGGTGTGACTTTGAATGAATATAGCGATTCGACTCTCCGTTCATTAGAAATACGAGTTTTCGATGGGGAATACTCGAAGGGCAAATACTTCTGTGTTGTGATGATCTTCATTCTCCGTTATATCTCTACTTATTGAGATTGTCCCTTGCAATATCCGCCATCACGACGGCGGCCGACACCTGTACATGACAGGAGAATGCCACATGCTCGCTCTCTCTCTCTCTCTCTCTCTCTCTCTCTCTCTCTCTCTCTCTCTCTCTCTCTCTCTCTCTCTCTCTCTATCTCTCTCTGTCTCTCTCTCTCTCTTAGAAAACCAGTGACGTTCTTACACAGATAGCTTAAGATTTAAGAACAGAAACTCACATTCCTAACACTTTCATTCGCAGAGCGTTTGGCCGTTCGAAGCAATGGTCCAAGACGACGCAACAGACGCACTGACCGAGGGGGAGGTTAAACCAAGTGCAATAACCGGAGAGGAAGCAACAGATGCAACGGCCGAGAAGAACGCAGAGAGAAATGCTCAGGCCGAAAAGAACATGAAAGTAGCAGCAATATTTACTGAGACGTACGAACCGACAGCGGCCGACCCCGTGTCGCGAGTGAGGGCGCGGGAGAAGAGCGGAGTCGAGGGCGCCTCCTCCTTCGGGTACGCGACCTTTGCTGCGGGGGAGAGGTTCGAGTCTCTGAACGCCCGGCGGAAGGCGCATTTGCTGGACAGATGCCACGCGCTGGAGCAGGCCCAGAGGATGCCTCTCGCGAGAGTGAATAAGATTGTGAAAATAAAACCGGCCCTACAGGTTTGCGTGTCGCCGAAGGTGAGCACCGCGCATCTCTGTTACTTTAATAGCAAAAAAAAAGGTTGTGTAGCTAGAGTACGGTTCCTCATGACAGATAAGGAAGAGATAAGACTTTATTGATTGCAGTTCATATCCCAACTACTGACCCTCGATGACTGCCAAGGTATAGACCGCAGAAATCCTTTAAAACTAGTTTTCCTAAAACAAGAAATTTCATTAAAATCGTCCAGTTAGCGTAAAGGTCTCTTAGCACTCTCATTTGGCACGTAGAACAATGCAGGGAAGTACAGGAAAACACACGAATATGCCGAAGGCCCTTCCGCATTTACTGCTTCATCAGGGCATTTGGCTTGTTAGACCTGAAATTCTGCCTCGATGACCTTACGTGATTTAGTTACTATCTAAAGGAAAAGAATGGCGCGCGAGCATAGCAATTGATGGCCTTAGTGACTCTACACGACTCCTATCTATATGACCCTCGTTTGACCTAACCCGGTGGGGGTACCGCCTCGTTTTTCAGATTGATAAATACATGGCCATGCATATCCATAAACCACGCCAGATAACCTCAGTTATCAAGGCTTCCCTGGAGTTTGTGTTGAGTTTGGGGGAAATTCCAGCGGCAGGAACTGAGAAAATATAACTTCATAGATTTCCCAAAGAAAGGTATTTACTAAAAACTATAATTACTGTTTGCAGAATGAAATGTAGAAGCTATTTAGCTTAAACAGAAATTAGGACGTGGATTACTTGGTGCACCAACAAGCGAATGGCCCAAGACAATGGCAAAGTGATGCCAACGACAACCAACTCATATTTTATTTGCAATTCGAATGTAGATGTGTAGATTAAAAGGGTAAAGTCATATTAACCGAGCGCTCCATGAGCCATTACCAAGCAGTGTCCGGTGGCTCGAGCTTCTCCTGTTATAGTGTTTTTTAATGATTTTTTTATTATGTAAAGCTCCACCTTCGCTAGCAAGGCATCAAAAGTAGTTACGCTCATTCTTGAATATTTTCTGAAATCTTGCACACGGTCAAGTTGTGTTATTGTGTGGCTTCCGTGAACATCTTTTATTGAGCCAGTCTTTGCACCATATTCTTCTTTTTCCCTTTACACACAAATAAACTACCACGCTGCACTATACTTTCTTCATGACGATGCTCGACTCACCCGCCATTCACGCTCGAGGTGGGCAGGACTCTTCATCGAACCGCGCTGCCCGGTGGACACGCGCGCTCCGGACGAGCCTTCGGGTAGGACTAGTGGTCCTTGGTAACTAAGCACTTCTGGAGTCATCTGCGTAAGGAAAATTGATAAACGAAACTCACGCAGGACATGCCTTCCCCGGCGCCAGAGGATTAAAACTGGACAAGTTCATAAAAGAAGTGTTGGAAATGTGAAGTCCACGCATTGCTTCCGTTAATGTTAATAGACAGAGGGATATTTACACAGCAATTGCATATGTATATGTTTATATGTGATTATAGGTCCATATTTGCATACATATATCTTACAAACATATGAGTGTGTGTGTATGTTATATTAATAATACGTGATGTTATATAGTATAATTAAATGATTATCTATCTATCTATCTATATATATATGATGTTTTCATTCACTCATTTTCACTCTGTCACTCTTTCTTTACTAATTATGTTCCTCATTCTCACTCTGACTCGCACGCCCAATTACTGTAGCATAACACATATGGCTGTCCCTTTCTCTCTCTCTCTCTCTCACACACACACACACACACACACACACACACACACACACACACACACACACACACACACACACACACTCACACTCACACTCACACTCACACTCACACTCACACACACATACACATACACATACACGCACGCACAGATGTATCCACCCATATCAGGAACATCCTGTGCTTCGCCTCATCGACTGTGCAATCCCTTTACGTAAACCACAATGTGTAACGAAGTCCTCGCTGGAATCCCCAGAGTGGCTCGTCGTCGTGGCGGAAACTCAAGAAGAAGCTGCGGGCGAGGAGGATGGTGTCGCGACGCCCCCTGACCGCCCTGAGCGTCCGGCATCCGCTGGCTCGTCTCAAGTCGGCCTACAGGTGAGGCCAGGCTGGCTTTGGCGCAAAGCGGGTTGGACGCGACTTGAAATTCGGTCTGGGGAGTGGTGGAGCGCCTGCGACCCGGCCTGTGGGGGACTGTATTGGTGCTGTCCAGTGTCCAAATTATATTTATGTAGCATATGTTGTACAGGTTGGTATACGGAGAGACAGAGAGATAAACAGATAGATAATTAAGCGAGAGATGACATATTACTATTCCAGAGACAAGTTCCTCGACGGCAACCCCGTCTCCAAGTACGACTCAGCCTGGAGAGCGAAAACGCAGAGCAACCAGAGCTGGAAGTACCGCTGGGAGGCTTACTGGCTGCCTGCGCTGATCTCCCGGGGCGACATCCAGCCCTCGCCGTGGCTCAGGGACCGCCGGAAGAAGATGCTGACAGTCTCCAACCCTTGCATGCAGACGCTGTTCTCAATCCACGGCATTGCCAACAAAATGGGCCAGGAGTACCGGTCTCAAATGGGCACCTACGTTAAGCGCTTCATGAAAGCCTCCTTCAGCTTCGAGGACTTTCTGCGTCACATTTTGTGGTGTCGAGACCACGGGATCCTGGATCACCACTGGGCGCCCCAGTCCTGCCTGTGTAACGTGTGCAAGAAACAGTATGATTTTATCCTGCACACGGAGAGCGTCACGCAAGAGTCGAAGCATGCACTTGCCGCCGCTGGAATTACACCAAACCTATATATCAACACTCAGCATAGTACCAAATCAGTCATCAAGGATTCTGGAGCCTCCTATTTTGACAGAGTTAACAATGATACATTGTGGGAAATACTTCAGCTTTACAAGAATGACTTAGACCTTTTCGGCTATGAGCTCTGATTCCGGCATGATTTGTTTTATAATTTGATATATTAAAGGCTTTGCACTTAAAAGCTGTGGTGTTAAGTACCAAAATACTAATTCTTTCCTGACTGGGCTTTTGATCTCGTGCATAGAAAAAGTTATTGCCCAAAGTCCTTTATTTAAAGTGCAGGGAAGTTAATGGTTCAGTGTTTTGTAAATTACTATATGGAAATATTTCATACTGCCTGTCTGTACACTCACTCACTCACTCACTCTCTCTCTCTCTCTCTCTCTCTCTCTCTCTCTCTCTCTCTCTCTCTCTCTCTCTCTCTCTCTCAGACACACACACACACACACACACACACACACACACACACACACACACACACACACACACACACACACACACACACACACACACACACACACACACACACACAAAGAATTATAAAATCAAATTCAAGAACATTTTCCCACATCAATGAAAACCAGAGTTGTGGTGGACACTCCATTCTGAAAACCTGGAATAACTAATCTCTACTTTATGACTGACTGCAAAAGTTTCTAAAAGTCCCATGTTAATATTTGTCTTTACAAGCACACGCAACATAAACGCAAAACTGGACAAAATACAATTATTCTGTTGCAAAGGTATGTTTTATATTTTCAAACAGATGCTCATTTTCTGCATTAATTCTGTCATATATTTAACAATATCATTTTGACATTCCCCGGCTTTTTATTCAATGTAACTTACTGATGAACAAGAATGGGTTAACAATTTAAAAAGCAATAATAATTTCAAAAGCAGTTGTGAAAATTCTCACACATTTTTGAGAGGGGGACAAAAAATCAAAAATGCATACAATGTACCTGGGGTGGGAAATGAAACCATCAGATAAAAAATACATATTATCGCCGAAAAAAAAATCTAGGCTTTACACTGAAGTAAACAGTCTGAGCCACAAAGTATGAATGAAAAAGGTTACAAAAACTACAGAATATCTTCAAATGACATTAGGCATTTGAAGGAACTGAAGAAAGGCTTTGCAAGTCTAGAATGTTTAAGGAAAGATTGCCTACAGAAAAATATGAAAATTTACTAGAATAATTTTCTAGGATATCTATATGTGAGATATCTTGCACATCTGCCAACCCTTATATCAGTAATATCTTAAGCTTCATGCAGAATATTTTGGTTCTTGTTTGGCTTCATTAAAACCAGTCATGAGTTTAATGTATTTATGGACATTGTAAATCTTAAAGGAACAGAGGAGGGAATACTGCACGTTATGAAACATAATGATAAAAGATAATAAACGGTATTTGAAGTTCATTTGTAGAAAAGGAAACAAACTGTATTATCTACATAGAAAATATTTTTTTAATGATAAACAAGTAACAAAGCTTATTCTATAACAATTAACTCTTTCCTTAAGCTGGTTTGATTGAGTGATGAAAATAGTGTGTATTTTCATTTCTTACAATTAAAACAAGCATATAAGGTTATACATAAATATATATATATATATATATAAAGTATACATTAATATGTAAGTATGAAATCAATTGAATTGATTAAAAATAGCAAGCTACTATTTTACAAGTCTGTCTCAATAAAGATATTTTCTCTTTTACATATTTATCACAATACATTTCCATTCTTTCAGGTACATTGCCTGGAACTTGCAATCACAGTATGAAATGTCCCTATAAAAAGGCACTTTTTGATGACCGATCATCAGTAATAAAAAAAATAAGCTAACCTTATCACTTCCTATCTGATACTCACAACAGTTTCTGATATGAAAAGCATATGAACCAAGCACTAAAAATTAAGGTAAGCTTAACCCAAATCCATCAGGCATGGCATGTACATCCATGCCATGCCCACTTAGTTTACTATATTAATTGTTTTTACACATAGATGGCTACACTTGTACTAAGTCACCAATGAGCCAATTACAAGTACTGCCTGTCTCGTCCATTTACCTTTTTCCTTGATTTTTCAAAATATTTTATGTTATCTTATTTTGCTGTTACTAATGTCAATAACATTATAGTAATTATAATGTCTATAATAAAAATAACACCATTGATATTCACAAGATTACTAAAAAAAATGGTTTTCCCGCTAATTCAAGGAAAGGTGAAATCTGGTAAGGTCACATGGTCTACTAATAGACTCCTTTGTGGAGAGACATCTATGTGCTGAGACATTTCACAAAAAAATATAAAAAGTTAAGCACAGCATTTTCCCGGTGACATTAAGTTACCGTGGAAACATGAACTCTTGAAGCTTCCTTTGAAGCACAAGCAGACAATACTTCTCTCTACAGTATAGTGATGTTTGAATATACAAAATATAACGAAGATAAAATAATATATAATATAATATATTTCCACTTCTAGCTCTCTGAAATCTTTTCGTTCGAGCTTTCTTCCTCATCCATTGACTCATTTTCATCTCCATTCGCACTGTAGATAATATGATGTGGATCTTTTGTTAATCTCAAATATGTAGACACAATCCAGAACACACAAGGTTTTTGGAAAATATATATTCCTCTTAAAGAAGTTACAGTATACACAACTGAACATATACAATGAAAGGGTAAAATATAGTAATAAGCCCTTTGGTACTTGAGCTGAAGCTGCCAAAAGCCCAGAGCAAAAAGTGTAGCAAATACTAACAGCACGAAGCATGATACCGATGACCACAATGGCCCTTTTTGAAGATCCTTTGCACTGAGAGTATTCTTGTTCAGTCTATAAAGTGCCCATCGTAAGAGGGCTTGGTTGAATGCCTTACTTTCCACTTGCTTTTTTTTTTCACTGACTGTATGCCCCTCATTTGACAGATCTGGGAGTAATAATGTATCTTCATCTTTATCTCCGATGTCAACTGGCTCAGGATTTTCCATGATTCAGTTCATCAACAAACTGGCAATCTGCAAAAAATCGTGATATACACATTACAGCTCATGTATTTTATAATCATATGAAACTAAAGCCCTTGTTCATTATCATAATCTTTATTCATCATTACATATAATGTGACTCTTTATAAAGGCATTGCTATTACATGATGGGATAGAAGACATTAGTGGCTAATAATTATCTACAACTGACTCTCAATCTGCCAGCTGTGGAACTAGACAATTAAAGACTTAGAAAAAATACCAGATAGCAGGAAAATAACTTCTGACCCTACCAAATGTTAAAAAAGTTTTGACATCTACAAATGAGAAGACGGATCTAAGCACAGATAAAAATAAATATTATCCATGCATTTATATAAGAACAATTAAGTTTCAATATTTATATTAATGAAGGCAGAAAACTAACATTTTTGCATATTTATCACAGGTTATTAAAAGTCAAGAAAGTGGCACATTATATTAATTTAATCAAATATGGACCATGTGGAACAATGAGAACAAAATAGATTGGAGAGAGAAAACACACACACACACACACACACACACACACACACACACACACACACACACACACACACACACACACACACACACACACACACACACACACACACACACACTCTCTCTCTCCCTCTAATACACTGAAAGCCTTTTCACACTACATATTTCCCTGAAGAAGCAACATAGCAAAAAGGCCTTCATCATATTTGTGTTCCTTCTTGTTTTTCCTTTCACTGCTTCATTTACAATTTATTCACAACCTGAATCCTACACAGGGTGGATTATAAGTGGGAATGCTTAATGGGAATATTCTTAAGGAAACTAAAGTAAAGAAATCAACCTGTTAAAGATATTCACACCTCATTAGCACTTCCAATTTCTCCAGTGAGCAAATTGAAGGACCTTTATCAAATACATATGTGCAGGTTTGCGTCATTATTCACTGACTATATAAAATACTGATTAGGCTGAATCAGTTGGATTATCTAGACATTTCAATTAAAAAATTAATTGGTTTTCAAGGTGAATGAAACTTATTTAGAAGCTGTGCTCAGGGGAGGCTATGTTTCTAGTCATAAACTGGAAGAGCCACAACAGGTCAACAGGGCCACAAGAATAGTTTAATATGATACTGTGTATTACTTTGGTAACTTGTATGAATCATTTAGTCTTTGAAGAAGGACTATATAAAATGACAACATAGAGCTAATCTTTATGGTATGTATGCACTCAGCTTGGGCAAATAGATGAGGATATTCTTATCATGGACAGAAAGTTGCAGTCACTGGTGCAAGAAATAATGTCCACACACAAATGGTAACGCCACAAATAAAGGGAAAAGATCACTGAGAGTGCCACTGACAGCCTAAGCCACTGAGGTACGCCTGAGTTTCAGCTCTACCTTGCCGTGCACACCTAGTCGAAAACAATGTTTGCAGTGGGGGGGGGGGGGTGTTCCTGGGCACACCCACTCATGTCAATACAAATTGTTGAAAACATTGCGACATGGAGTTTGGGACAAGTGTATCTCTATTGTCAAAAAAGCCGAATGTGTACAGTATGAAGTTTCTTAAATACAAAAAAAAAAAAAAAATATCTTCAGTTGTATGAATAAAAATGTAAAAACTTTTATGGAGAATTTAATTATATTTGGTACTTTGTGAAACCATCTGAATTATTAACATTATAGCATATTAAACATTACAAGAGTCACAATTGGTATCTTCACCAACTGTGCATACTTCATAATCTAATCTAGTCAAGTGTAATGCTGCCTGTCTTTCCACTTTCCACTTCCTTCTGTCCTTCGCTGAGGTTAAGACGTGGAACCTAATGGTGTCCAGCGCCCCAACTATGGCCCCTAAGTACGTTTTTTGTCTTCCTCTCGCTCTTTTGACCTCGATTTTCCCCGTTGTCACCAGACATTCTAGTTCCTTCTTTTTCCTTACAATAAAGCATAATGAACTATCTTCATTGGGTAAAATTTCGTCTTCATTACAGATTTTGTTTGTGTCGATTAAACCAAAAAGAAGTTTACAGACCAAAGACTTTATCTTAAAAAGGGTGGTAAGGAGATCCTAAAGTTTGAAAGAAAAAGAAAAAGAAAAGAAAAGAGAGAGAGAAAAAAAGAGTCAATATAGCACTTAAAGAGAAAAATACCATAAAGAGATTCTTAAGAGTACAGTACAAAATTCTTAGTCATTAATGCCTAAGGGTGTTTGTTCTCCCTGCAGGCCTGTTTTGGGTGAGGAGGCTG